TTAATGATATATGTTATATTTCATATCATTTTTATTAAATCTGTATAACGATAAGTAAAACAATTCCATTTATAAAGCATTTCAGAAAGATTTTCTTAGAAAATCTAAAGAAAGGTTATTTCATTTGTAAAATATGTTGCCTTATTCGTTATATCACATATTATCTGATTCCATGAGAAACAATAATATAATTCTGAAAAGTTCTGTTAGCCGTACGTGCACCAATTTCTTGGCGTAACAGTGATTTCAACACGAGAGGCCGAGTCCAGTGAAACGAATGATTAGGACAGAAGAAAAAGATCGCACGGTTTTCCTGCGTGCTAAACGTCGATTAAAGAAACATGGATTTCGTGTTGCGTAATTAATATAAATATATAGAGCGAAACTATATATCGAGTTAATTAAACTCGAGTTAAGGGAAGATCAGCGGATTTCACTGTTGTGAAACTAATATATCCACGTTGAACGGAATTGTACTCTCTCGTATAAATTAATCAGACACAAATCGGAAGGATTTTACATCGTGAATTTAAAGAGCGAAAGAAATTTCATTTACGATTTTCAAGAAGAAAACGGCGGAACGAAACGGATTTGACTGTCGCGTCCTTTATTACGCCGCAATCGAAATGAGAAATCAATTCTCGGTCTTTCCGTTCTCTGCATGCCACACTGTCGCTCCCACGCGCCTTTTCCGAAATACATATATAGATTGTTTACTTACCGGACGCGATTGTGAAATTGGTAGCAATAGATCGCGCGCGCGGACGTCTGACGTTGCGGAAACCTATTGTTCCCCGGATCGCCTTAACTGCGATCCTGTTAAGGCAAATTTTCCTTAAACGCCGTTTCCCGCGGTGAAAAGTCTGAGAACAGACGGTCGTCGTTTTTTCTCCTGTTCTTCAGGCGAATTATAACGTAATTGCGCGCTATTATACGCGAGCCGTATATTTGATTTGAGGTATAATTGCAGCGAGATATCGCGCGGAGAGATAGGGTCAATTGTTGTTGTACGGTTGCACAGTGTGTACATCTTTTTACGCAAGTCACGAAGAAAGAAGAAAAAAAACACCCGGGCGTTTTCTTTCTCATAAACCTGCCTCTGCATTTTCCTGGAGTGTGTTATCCTAATCGACCGACTCCATCAACGCCGCGTTACGCCCGGCGCGCCCGCAACTACGCGAACTCCCTGCGAACGTTACACGTTACATGCTGGGTTAGTAACCGCTGCGATTTAACATCGTGATCAATATGAGATCGCGATCTGCGGATCCGGAGTGATCGATCTTAGACGAGGAGAAATCCGCGGAGACAGAAATCAGCGGTGCTTATTAAGACGATTGTGAATATAATGTAGCCTCATTTGTCAAAGCAGCAGTTGTTGCGCAATCCGTTTGTACAGGGTGATCTGTTCTGGGATAAATGGGTGGTCTAATGTCAAGAGAAACGTAGTAGAAGACTAGTAAAATAAATGAAAATAAATAAATAAATAAAAGTATTGCGATTATTAACAATGTTCACGGTAACATATGTGACGCAGTAGCGATAGTTCTATAGATTTGCACTTAGAAAACTTTCTAATTTCGAATAAAAATCTTTTCTTTAACTTTGGGAACATTAATGAAAAAATTATTAAAGTAACGGAATAATGCGATTAGTGAATATACAGTTCAGTTTTACTTTCCTTTAGCTTTATACGTGTATGTCTGTTTGCCCATGTAATCTTGCGAAACGCAATAATTTAGCTTTATGTAAATCTACTTTCCAACGTAACCTTACGAAATAGATTAATTCGTCAAAGTAAAAGATAGCTATTCGGATTTTGCAAATTATTGATAGATAGATCCAGTAGCCGTTATCTTGCGTCGTAAATTAATCTTGCGTTTCTTTGTTCGAGCGACCTGCTTTTTCCAATGAATCAGACGAACGTTTGCCGATTTCACTTCGTGCGCCCCTCTTCGATGGTCCATGATCCTTGAGCATCCTCAAGGGTGTCGCCTTGGTACCGGAAGCTACGCATGATCGTAGTCGAGTGGCAACAAGCTCCCAATAAGGGATCCGAAAGGGTCGCGCTATTGGTGAAAGGGGTCCGCATCCAAAGCGGTGCAATCGTCGGTGCCCCCGCCTCATCCCTGGGTCCCCCTGGGCCTGGGCAGGGCTCCGCTATAAAAGCATACTGCGTCGCCCCTCGAACACGTAGTGTTTCCCCGCGTAGCGCACAAGAAAAACTGACATCACACACCATGAAGTTCTTCGTAAGTTTCTCCTCGCAAGTATAACGCGAGGAAGTAAAAGTTAATCGTTGTGGGCCCGAGAATGATCCCCTATATGCGATTGATCGTCGGGATTTCTGTTACGCGGTGTTGCGCAAAAGTTCTGCATTCACCTAGTATTTCTGCTAGATTTGTTTTGCATTAGTTAAATATTGTAACTATTTTACGTTGTAAAATTGTAATTTAGATATTTTATCACATTTAATGTTAAAACATTAAATAAAGATATTAATTTTATATATAAATATAATTTTATAATTTATAAAAAAAATATATATATACATGTTATAAATTTTATATATATATATATATATAATACTATATATATATAATATAATATATATATAATATATATATAATATTATATATATATATATATATGTATTATAACTTGTATATTTTCTTGGTCCTTTGTAGTTTTATTGTATTTATGACACAAAGATTAAATATATTTTGAATATATTGTGAATATACATCTTATTATACGTTATTATACATTATTATTGTGTATACAATATATTGCACTGCATTATATTGTTGTATCGTTGCAGATTGTTTTGTTTGCTGTTGTGGCGGCCGTCAGCGCCGGATACGAGGCAAGTACTTCATTTAAAGAAGTTTATATTTACATAAATCTTACAATTTATATTATTATTGCTCTTTGTATGCAAATTTATAGTAATACTAATTTTATTATAATACACTGTAAATCATCTGTCAACGTTACTACTACCTCTCTGGATTTCACTTATGTGATTAATCAAACTTTAATTATTCCACTCTTATCATTAATTTTTTAGTGACTCTCGACGTTTCTTTCTTTTTAAATAACTAAATGTTCCTCGTTTACCCGAGTAATATTCCAACGACTCGAGTCTCGACGAGGAAACACACTTTAACATGAAGGTATCCGTATCACTATTTCTTCTTAATCGGCCATTTTCAAGGGAAATGTTTGTAGGTTTTTAATCTTTCTCAATTTTTCAATTTAATCTTTCAAAAGTAAGTTATTATCGCTATCGTCGTTCATCAAGCATGACTGATACTTCGCCTAACTTTTTATATTCTTTCTACACTTTTTGTATTCTGACATCTTGATAAGGACTTTTGAACTCTTCTTCTCTGTAAGATTTAATTATTTAATGTACTGATCGATAACTTTATACAACAATTCTAGTAACAAAGTCTTCTCTATAATCTTTCTTCTCGTCTTCGTGGATGTTTTCTACATCAGCCATTACTCTCATTCTATTCTTCGCAATTCTCTCGACCTGTGATAACTCCTCATTTTTTAAAAACATCATCGCTGATTGATCAACGTCAATGCGGACCACGGAGGCTCGTTCTATTTCTCTTCTGACGCACCGAGTAACTTTGGACGTACTCGGCGGGAAAGTAACTTCACGTAACATACCCGTGTTACCGAGGCGATCGATTCCGATCAAATGAAAAAAGATCTGTTTGACGCAGCCCTGGGTGGCTCCCGTGGTGCACGCTTCTCCAGTGGTGCATGCCGCCCCGGTGGTGCACGCGCCCCAGCCCTGGGACGCGCCCGCGCCCAAATACGTCAAGGTCGCCGCTCCCGTGGCGCACGCCAAGGTAATGGTGGTAGAAAGAACTGTCATCGGGAGGTTCGATTCCATATTATGTTACGCGATATTTTATCGCCTCTGTGGCTTTGGCAGGGCCTCCAATAAACCTGCTAGATAATTTATTGCGTGATGAAGGTAATGAAGGTAATGTTTTAAGATAGCGGAGAATGTTAAAATAAAGTGTCTACAATAATGACGGTAAAGACATATTATCGAAGTATTCATAATTGAAAACATTTTGCGTTTGATTTTATTAAGTCCCAAGTAAACGGGATATTGCATATTTTTTATCAGTTCCGTAAATTCGGTGAGACGAATGAATACAATAAGTAAGTTGATAAATATTAATTATACAGTTTATGATCGAAAAATATTATGAATATTTAAAACGATAGTATTATTACATAATTACAAACGATAGATAAATAACAGTTTTTGAAAAATGTCGAATGAGAGTCCGAGCAGAAACTGCTATTTTGTATGCCGTTGATTGCCCCTTCTATTCCATTTAATCGGCTGATTTCTAATGTTACATTACGTTGCTAGATCTGATCAATAGTTACGTGTGTTTCTTACTTTACGCTGCAGCTGAACCGACAACGGAATAGGTGTCCGCGATCGTTAGTTAATTGGATTTCCTACTTAATCGGAGACCTATAAAGCGGCCGTGACGAAACCCGGTTCAATTACACCGAAATAATCGGTGCAAGTCGTTTACGTAATGCTTGTTCCGCCTCTAAGTGCCTGTTGCATAATTAATGATAAGCAGCTTGGATTACCTTTGTTTTGTTCGTTTTCACAACTGCTCAGAAATCTGATAGTTAAAACTGATATTTTATTGCGAAAAAGAAAAATTTCTTTTATGAAATTTTCTGAATTTTGTTTTAATAATTATTGTGATTACCTCTTACTATTATAATTTCATCATTTAACAATAAAAGAAAATACAATACATATAAATACGTAATATAAATTTTTTAATTTTGTTTCTGTACATGTTTCTTGAAGTTAAATTTATCGTTAATTTTAACAGTAAAAATTAATTCAGTATCTTAATTAGCATTAACTTTATAATAAATTATAATTGAACACTAAACATATAAATTGCTTTCAATCGATTGTAATATTGCAAAATAATAAAATAATTCTAGAGTAACTATTTTATGACCGCATTTTATTGGGAATAAAATTGATATAGATGAATATTCTTACATTATTCTTAATACATATTTATTATTCATATATAATATACATTTTTATTTAACATATTTAAATTCTTTATACTTCATATATATTATATTATTTTTATTATTTGATTAGTTATTTCTGTTTTATAATTTATGTAACTATCCTTACACTTGTGCAGTATTTAGAAAGCGTGTCTAATAATTATTCTAGGTACCGTATTAACATTATTTTATTATCACTTACAGCAAGTCTACCACGCGCATTACATCCCCCAGCAGCCCGCCATCCCGCCCCCGCACCCGGGTCCCCTGCATATCAAGGGAAACGACCACGTTACTAGAATACATTATGACGCTCCCCATGTTGGACATCCACATCTCGTTGGCGTCGAGCATTACGTAGCTGCCCCGGAACCCGCCATCTCCGTCGTCAAGACGCACGGACACGGCTGGTAAACTAGGAACTCCGTTCTGACGATGCCTCCCTCCCCCCCTGACTTGAAACCCATTGGTCCAGAGAGTGGTCTATACCGAAATGGCAGTCATCCCCGAGTCACATCAATCATATAACAATGACAGCAGACAACTTCGTCGACGATATTATCTGGTTTCTCCGCGAATCCAAATGTATCCAAATGTACCAATTGAAGAGAAACAAATATAAGGCCAAGGATCCATCGACGATCGTCAAAATTTTGCATCTCCGAGGAGTTTTTGGGAGCCTCAGGAGAGACGGAAAATCACCGGACCACTCGCGGATCGCAGACCAGGCAGCCAAACTCAAGAATAAAAAAAATTCGACTTGATTTTTACCTTAGAGCTACATATGACACGCCTTTACACAAATACACATGGACACGAACACCCGAGTCTTTTTCTGTTCCTCCGTCTTCCCCAACACCGAAATTCTCGTGCGGCAATTGTGATATTGAAGAAGACATCACAACATCAGAGAGAGCGTATTCCTCCCCTACCCCTCCATTTCTCGGATTCCATCCTATCTTTCTTCACTGTCCGCAGCAACACTTTTATTTATTTTCTAATAAAAGTTGATTTGTGTACGTCTTGTGATAAACCAGGAATTGCGTTGTCGTTCTTTACTCGACCACCCAGTACGATCCATTCTTTTTTTCCTCCGTTCTGCCCTCGTTTTATTCTCATTTTTATGCTTATTTTCATCCGTATATTTAAATTTTTTTTCTTTTTTTTTTGCTCTTTTTTTCTTCTACTCTCACAACGAGTGATAACGATTAGTTACGACAGCTGAGTCGAGAAAGAAATGAATTCCCGAATGGTTACGTGTAAAACGTATGCGGAATAATAAATTGTGCAATATATTATAATAAATGAGTATTCACACATGCTACACCGTTCTACAATTTTCCAATTAGCTTTTTCCGCAAGCAGCATTCTCAAAGCCTCCAAGATCAGTCAAGTGTAACAGGGTACAGGCACTTGTTTACAAGTTAATACACTGCGACGAGGTTACAATTTACAAGCTGTGAAAGTTCGCCCGTACCGCTTGTGAACTAGGCCATTTTGCAAACAGGCTTAATTAACATCTGATTAAATTATTAGTTAAAAAAATTGTGACAGCAAAGCAATCCGTTTTCGATCAATGTCGAATTATTATAGTAGCTGTCATTATAAAATAAGTTGATTTGATATTAATTTCAATATACGTCAATGTAAATCTTGCTATAACAAATATAAGGAATTAGTAACAATTTTACGTCGCAAAAGTACCGTATGTGTATCAATAATAAAAACCTATTTTGAGAAGAATATTGTTTTAATACCATTTCTCGTTCCTTGATATTCATTCCTTATTTTATAAGATTTTAGATTCATTCTCGATTCTTGCATTATTAAATAAATTATTAATTAAATTATATGTATATATATATACATATATATATATATGTATATATATATGTATACATATATGTATATATATATATGTTGTTTAACTAGAAATTATTAGAGAATTGGTAAATGAAAGCTAATTACAGTTAAAGTATTGCAATTAAAGATTGAAAAATTTGATATTGATATTGAAAAATTTGATATTGATTTGGTAACTAGAAATTATTAGAGAATTGGTAAATGAAAGCTAATTACAGTTAAAGTATTGCAATTAAATATTGAAAAATAAAATTTATATATCTCATATAAGTAATGAATTTTTTATATATCTTAATATATATAATATATATATATATATATGTATATATATATAATTTATATATATTTTAAAGTTTATGCTGTAATATAATAAAATCTGTAATAAACAGTCTTAACAATATAATTCCAGATCAATATACGCAAAAATAATAATGCAAAATCATACAAAAGCGCAACATCTTTTCTCTTACAAAATTTTAGCAAAATTGGATAACGGATAAATACATTTTACAATTAAAATTAGAACAAAGTTAATATAGAACTGATATAAAATTAATTTGAAAATTAAGCTGTGCACATATAAATAAATCAGTCAGCTTCGACCAGTCTAAATCAATTCTTCTATGCAATTTTACGAAACGCTGTAATTCCATAAAAAAAAAAATCGCAGCGATCGCGTGAATCATTGCAATTCAATACCGCATTGAATACGCCGTTCTTTATGTATAAGTAAAGCACTGCATTTTATCTCACGTTTATATTCACACACGCATACACACACGTACTCACCGATTATTAGTAGTGAGATTAACGACAATGGCATGCCTCTCTGATGGTCCACGTCTCATCGTCTTCAGCGTCAGCATCTGTAAGGGTGATGCTGATCTCGAAAATATCGAAAGCGTGACAGGGCGTGACGTCGCGGTTGGGCGGCCACCTAACAAGGGGGCCAGAAAGGGTGTTGGTCGCGTGGTTAGTGAAAGGGGTCCATATGACGTGTAACGTCGTGCCCCCGCCGCCTGACGCCCTGAGAGTGGGTCTGGATCTGGGCAGGGACCTGCTATAAAAGCATACCGCGTCGCCCCTTGAAGACATAGTGTTTGCTCGCATAACACGCAAGAAAAACCACTGCTCGCCACCATGAAGTTCTTCGTAAGTTTTTCCCTTCATTCGCGACAACTTCGCGTTAATTTATCGATTTTATCTACATCTTACATATTTTTATCTGCATGCAAAATTGTAGACATTCATGTGAAGGAAAATATTAATTTTTGCACATATTTAATTATTATAAATAATTTAATCTTATTTAATATATCTTTAAACTTTTATTTCATTTATTTCATATTTTATTTTACTTATATTTTATTTTACTTATATTTTATTTTACTTATATTTTTTTATAAGTTTTTATTTATTTTTTGTGGATGCCTATCGTTGTTTTATTAGAACTTATATTTAAAAATCTAAAATCTAAAATATATTAAACGTATGATGTTTTCTCATTACAGGTCGTTCTGTTCGCCATTGTGGCGGTTGCCTATGCTGTAAGTATTTCACAATTATTATTTTAAAAAAGTTCAGTTACAATAATTATTTCGTAATTCTTCTATCATATCTGGGATACTTTATGATTTTTTGGTTAAATTCCAAGTTAATACTCCGTTTATAAATTGTGCGTATTATTGAGAAATACTCCATTATAGAAAGTACAACAATTTTATAATTATTCAGCAGTCACATAACATGACTATTTTTAACAAAATATTAAAATATAATGTTAATTTCTAAAATTAATGAATATGTTTCGAAATAATTAAGCACAAAGCAGCCAGACAGTATCAATATCTAATCATAGGTTTATTATCGGATTTTCTACTAAATTAAATCCATTATCTCCGTGTCGAAACCCAGCCGCAATTGTATCAAATTGATCACGCTCGTTTGTGCAATTTCCGTCCCGACGTTCCCATTGTAGTTACTCAAGCATACTAAACTCCCTCGCATTCACTCGTGATTTCGTAATGAGGGACTACGTTCCCAGGAGTAATATCTTTTCAAGATTAATTTTCCGATAGTGTCAATTATATGTAACGAACAATTCCGACACAAGTGAAAATGAAATGTTTTATTAATAAAACACCTTGCCTTCTTTTATGTTTAGGGCCATCATGCGCAGCACATCCACGTTGCTGGCAACCCCCCCATCCCAGCCGTCCAGGCTCACCCGCTCGCCCTCCACGGTAACGACCACACCACCCGCATCCACTACTCTGGAGTGCACGTAGGGCATCCGCACTTGGTGGGAGTCGATCATTACCTCCCGGCGCCGCACCACGAGCCTGGCATCGTTAACGTGGCCGTCCACGGACACGGCGGACACGGCTGGTAAATCCCATGATCTGAGCCAGCAAACCCGCTGGTCCGGAGTGGTCCATGCCGAACGCGTCATCCTGAGGCTGATATGAGGCAGCGAAACAGCGACCACCATCACGATTGGTGATACGAGACAACGAGCGAAGTTCTCTGTCGGGAGCATCAATTCTCTTCGGCAAGGCGTTTCGATTCCGCGCGAGATCGCTCGCCGAGGATCGGCGGATGTCCGGCCTCCGAGGGTCGTGGATCTCCGGTCCGAGGATCGAGAATATCACGATGGAATACCGTTGCAATATATTGGCAGATCGAAATGAAATTCGACTGCCTCAGGATATGCCGCCATGTCTTGGGCCACTTCCGAGGACCGTTTTCCCAGAAAGACCAGGCAATCAGACTTGAAAAAAGCCTCCCCCCCGTCACTCCCTCATCTTCTTATCGTTTTGAGCCTTGACGCTATACATATGACACGCATCGTACGAACATCGAAGAACTGCAATCAGGTCCTTTCGTACCCCCATTCCCCATTTCTCATTCTGTCAACATCGAAATTCTGTGCGGCGCATTATAAAGAAGAGACTACAACATCACATCGCGGCCATCTCTTCCTGTCCCCACTATTCGTCTTCCGGCAGCAACACTTTTATTTATTTTACAATAAAAGTCGATTTTTACGTCTTGTGATAAAATGCGTCGTTTGTTCTTTATTCGATCTCACCCCGAGTGCAGTATCTCTCGTAATTGCAAAATATCGCATTACGTCATGAAAGTTATTTAACTAGATTACGTATATATGTATATGTATGTAAGATTAGATCAGACTTCTGAAAAGATAAAATGCGATAATGATAAAAAGATGAATAATTTTAAAGGGAAACGAGAGCTCGTAATTAAAGTGGCAAAAAGATATAAGATATTGAAAGTAAAACTGCATTAGTTCAAATGAAACTGGAACAAGTCCGCAGTTTGATATTTACTGAAATTCATTCGTTTGGAAATTTCAATGGGAACCGCTAATAGTGCAATACGTATCGAGTCAATCATGCAAAACAGCTCGATAGCGGCTTTGTTGGGAGCTCTCAGTTACCGGTTAAACAATACGTCAATTTCGCGTAGTTAACTTCATTAATATTGCTACTCGACTGTATTTTCATGGTTCCGACTACATAATTCGATCGCGCAAACTGATATTAGCTTAACCTAGTGTTTTCGCGTATTTTGTCGAGTAAATCGATTGTTTTATTTATTTAATGAGCGGCTTTAACAAGCGCCTCGAACATATATTTAATTCGAAGCGTAAAGCTTCAAGGCTTTCTTTTTTTTTATAGAAACATATGATTTATATTTAAAAAATTTACAACCTTTTTACGTTATCTGTTCCGATCGCGGATTGCATATCCGGATCAGTTTGAACTGTCCATTTCGCCGGGAAGGTTCTTCTTGCGATAACTTTATGCAAACGCCTCGACTGCGAATCAATCTAACGTCGCCGAGCAACGGACAGTCCAAACAGTGCCACCCTAAAGCCGGTTGCTATTCTTTTCGTCGCGCGGTGTCGTGCATTCGATGCCGCGATGCGAATCGCGCATGTTTTTTTTGTCACGCATCACATAATTAATCAACTCGATTAATTATGAGAGAACTTGTCGTAATCGCGCTCCGCATCAGCTGACGAGGGAGACGTTCATTCACGAGGATCCTAGAAATGCAACTGTACTATGGATAACGACTGTCATTGCGCTTCGGTACGAGCTACGTCGAAATATTTCAACGAGATCTTCGCATGTGGTCCCTCAATTGTGTACACTCGTGGACAATGAGGTTGCAACACTTTTTTTTCAGTGAATTTACGAACGCGTAAACTCACAAACATATTATATATAATTAGAATGATTATGTATCAAATGTTGATACTAACATCAAATTATATTATTTATTCAATATTATTTGAGAAACATTATCAGAAATGCGTTTGTAAACTCACTGAAATAAAGTTTCGTAATTTCATTGTTCACGAGTGTACACGGAAAGAACAATTTTGTTGAATCCAGATCTGAAAATAATTTTTGTTCAATAGTCAAAATTATTTTGTGCAAAAGTCAAAATGATTGCTAGAATATCAAAACATTTTATAGCAATATTTATCAGTTTTACAAAATTCTTTCAACAAAATCGTTCTTTCCGTGTACCTATCAATCTTGAAGTTTGTTTAAACTCCGTAGCTTACGAACTAAAACAACAGCGATTTTTTTACTATACGCTAAAATTTATTTTAAAGTTTCTTACAATATTTTTAGTTTTGTTGCACGGATTTTAGTGAATTCCTTTGACACTAATTGCTATGTTGCAAAAATTTTCGTAAAAATCTTTACCGAGTGTGTTTTTTTTCCGGAAAACGACAAAGTCATCTTGTGATGCCTTTATCGATGGCGATATATCTTGTGTTGTAATCACATTAATAATTACAATTATGTCAAAAATTGCTAACCATATTTTAATAATACATAATTAGCATATTTTTATTCTCTACCTATATTTTTATTGTTAAATATCTATTTTAATTGTGGTTTTGTCAGAAAAACGATGTTACCGGTAAAACATGTCGGTGAATTTAGATTTATTAATCTTGTTAAGTTCTTAGAACCGCTTGCGGTCGCACGGCGCGATTTCAGCATCACGCCGGTGCTTTTCTACGAGTATCGTTTTACGAGTATCTTTACGGTTCATTCGATCATTCGGAAAAGACTCTGGGCGCAGCTTGCTCCGAGCAATGATTTGCGCAACAGGAAAGGAGGAATTATACATACCTCGGCGAAACTGTTCCGCCGAGGAAAAAGGGACACGATATCCGACCGCGCGATCGTTCCACCGATTGTATGTTCTTGTTTGCGCGACGACCGTTTTGCTCTATTTCTACCCCCATTCGCGAGTATTATGCAATCATTTCGGCTCGTAATCGTACTAGTGCATACTAGCAGTACGTTACGTTCTTATGAATTCCTGTAAGGATTCCCGCATGCTCGCAAGAGAAAGCAAAATTCAGCTGCGCTTTCGTGCACACATTTATTAAGCAGACTTTTGATTTAAAAAAAAAAAAAAAAAAGAAAATTACATAAAATAATAAATCGAACTGGAAAAATTTTGTAATATTAAATAAATATTAACTAAATAGAATAAATAATTTTAAATATATAGTACAACTAATTTTAAATTTATTTAATTTTATTAATGGAAATGAATTAATTATAAAGTTCAAAATGAATCCTCTTTTAAAGACTGCAAATTCTCTTTTTCAACGTTGTTTCTTTTAATTAAAAATTTTAAATATAGATTGGAAAATTGTTGTTTTATTCAACACCGTAATGTGAGTCAGATATATCCCACTAAGGCTAAATTAAAATAGATATGACGGTATCCCGTTGAAAATTCTTACGTTCTCCAATTAATTTTATGAAATGGCACGAGCGAGCTATTTACATCGAAGTGAACGTTACCGCGGTGTGTCGGAGAGTCTACATTGCCCACCCACCCATAATTATACTGCACGTCGCTCAGAGATTTTCAATTTTTTTTTTCAAACTCGGGAATGTAGAATGCCAGCGTATCTATGTAGAATCTATATAGAATAACGTATGGAAATAGATGTTTGCCTCACAAACATCGCCGCGAGTTCAGTTCGCAGCGATGCGTAGCCGACTGGCAAATATACTAGTTATAACTGCTGCAGCAACTAGGTGCATTGCGAATTATTCCTTGCGACAAACTTTTTTTGCATACGGATATATTCGTTTCCTCGCGCTGCAACGACAGCGTAAAAAGAGAGTCGTTGTGGCCCCAAAATGCGATCACGCGAGGTATATTATCTATTGCGATCGCGAAGTCGCCTATTTGCACAATCCGTTTTTTCATTAATCATCCATGTCATTTTATTATCGATCTCTTCTAAACCTACTTTTTATTATCGATCGTTCTTAATAATTTCCTTATTAATTTTTATCTACCTACAACATCTTTCAATCTTTTTATGCGTATTTTATTAAATTTTCTTCATCCATAATATCTCAATTTAATTGTTAATTTTTATTTTATTAAAATTTTTCTGAAAAACTTTTTATATTTGTTAAGTGTAATTATTATTTATTATTTTAAGTGTAATAATTTTTTTTGCTACTGTTGATTATTTCTTTTTTTTTCCGAGATCGATAAGAAGGGAAAGTGATGAAAACAAGGTAATGTCGCCTACATTACTAGATCATGTAGATTAATTCATATGTTATATCTATTTTGATGTTAGAGCGATAACTACTGAAACGTATCGCATTCCGAACCGGTTGGAAAATGCTGCAGAAAATGTTGCGTATCGTTCGATTTCGATCGAGCCCCCAAGTTAATGATCACGCCCCCAAGTCGAGTAATAATCATTCGAGCGTAAAGAGTTAGCCAGTAAGCTGCTTGACACTAGCCTATGCCTATAAAATAATTTACATACATGCACGGGCATTTAATTAGGTTCCCCAGTCGCCCAGTCTGCCAGTAGCACATATCTCACGACGATAAATCTTGATTACTATCCCGACAAATATATCCCTCGGTCAACTGGACGAACTACAATATTAGTGCTCGAGTCTCAATCGCAGTTAGACAAGGATCTATTCGAGTTTATATGGCAATCGGGAGATGCATTCGACACGCTATTTTAGCCTGACGGATTACGCATTGAATTTGTAGCAAATGGAACGCCGTGACGTGCTCGAGAAAGAACGAAACTTGAAATGTATCTTTAATTATCAAACTTCAAAAATTGAAAGGCTTTTTTCTTTTTTTTTTTTAATATTTCGATCAGCTATAAATAATCGTATAAATAATTTAATTGTAATTTAATTGTAAGCACTTTTCTACAATTTTTTAAAGCTATTTCTTTCAAGAATTAGAAATAAGACGTTTATAATGTCACGAAGGACTGTCAGTTTTCTTAATCGATTTATCTTCATTCGTGAGGTGGTTATCGATTGTATACGTCATACTCCGTGTCTCTGACAACTCGAAATCATAATAATTCCAGACGAGAGGCAGGCACCACTCGAAATAAATTTCCTTTCTATTGACCGCTTACCAAGGAACTGGAGCAACTTCCCCAATAACGGGAGCACGTTCACGAATACGCGATCGCACGCTATCTATCCGATAGAGCGGTTGCATGAATAATGAATGCAGCGTGCGGTGCATTACGTAGCACGCGCGTTGTTGCATACTTTCTCTCTTCGTAATAAACGTTTTTCCGCGATAAAACGTGTTTCCTCGGACACGCCGCCCGTTGCACGTGCACTACGAGCAATCTTGACACGGCCTATCACTTTGATATACAATATATCTTAACCGCGATAGTGAGATGACAGCTTTTTCTGACGATGATCAATTATTTATCAATGTCATTATTAATCATTTTTCAACTTCTACCATATACAGTACGATTAATATATAATTCTATTCTCATCTCTCACATGCAAGTTTAGTTATATCTATCGTGCAAGTTTAATTATTATCTAATTATAAATCAATAAAATAATAATATTCTACATAATATATTAACTTAATTTTATATATATATATATATATATATATACATATATTATTATATATATATATATATATATGAGAAATTCTCTCGTCAGTAATTTTATTCTATACTAAAAAAATTATTTAATCCTTAAATTACATTTTTTTTATTGTTTTGCTATTTATATTCTAATTTTATTTATTATATATTATATAATAAAAAATTTGACTCAAATTATACTTATTATATTATTTGTATAATTAGAAGAATTATTAAAAATGATGCAGAATAGGAATACAGAATAGGAACAGTGTAATAATATGATCTAATAAAATAATTTTATAAAAAAGATTCTCTTTTTGCCGATCGATCGTTATGTTATATTTTTATCTTTATATTTACGTATGATTACGTATGATACTCTAGAGCTTTGTTCTTGAGCCAGACTGGAAAGTACAATGAGACTTATATGCAGTTAAAAGTTCGCAACGGAAGTAGAATTACATAAACGTTTAGTGTACTTCGTAACTACCTTGAGGAAGTGCTTTTACGCAAGCGGAGCTTCCTAATAGCGTGGCTATAGCTCGCAGGTGAGGCTTGCGCCAATGCTGTTCGTACCGTATATCGTAATAATAATCGTTAATTGTTTCGTTTGTAATCCGATCGTCACGACACGACCGATCGCGTGCGAAAGGTGGATTTCACTTTGCGCAAGGTGGAAGTAACGGAAGTCATTATGAAATCGTAATGTATTTCATTTTGCCCGCGGAAATTTAGTCAAATGATATAAGATAAAGCGATTTGAAAGAAAGCTAAAAGACTTATAGGGTCGTTTATTACTCTCGCTATTCGTGTCTAGTTATAACATCATTATTTTAGTATAACACGTAGTATTTAAATTCAATTTTTAGAACATAAATTAATTCAAGAATATAATTTTACGAGAATGCTAAGGATTCAAATAACTCTTTATTATTCTATTCTCAATTATTTATACGCCTTTAACTTGTACAGGCAAATGCCATTTACGAGACAAGTCGAGCACGATTTCTAATCTGATTCATGACGCAGGCATAAACGGGAGAGCGAACGTAAATAAAAATATTCATTGATTTACGATTAGTCAGCGTTGAACTTCAAACGAATTACAGATTCAAAAGAATAACAACGATATCGGCCGTACAATTCGAAGTACAAGCTACACTCGCGCGTTCACGGAACAAACATTAACTTTGCAAATTGTAGCAATAATTTCTTAACCGTAGCAAAATATTGTAATTGCATCGTGTAAATGTATAATCATTTATAATGTAATTTTAGTTACTTTTATTTTGTAAAATAAAATTATACAATTATAAAAGTTACAGAAGTAAAGAAGGAGAAACATAAAAAAATTTTATTAAATAAAATTATATTTTAAGTATAAAAATTATAAGTATGTTAAGTTATATTAAATAATGAAAAATAATTCTCTGTTTAATAAAGAATACGTAAGAAAATTAGTAAAATAAATTTGTGAAAGAGTTAATGAACTTTTCTATATTACATTAAATAAAACAAATTTGTAAAAAATTAACATATACATTCTGTCTCAAGAATTTTATAATAATATGAATCTCTATTTAATATTTTTTTATTCCCAGTGGAATTTTTCGATTTATCCGCGACACGTGCGTGAACTATCGTACTCGATGATATCGAAAGGGCTGAAGGCTCGATGGTGCTCGGATGATACCGGGTGCCGTCCATTTCTCGCAAGCGCGTTACACGTGGGTGTTATCGCGGATGGTCGGATGGGAAAATTGACGTTCGGTCACCGTTGTTATTGGTTCGACGACGAGGTACGAGAACCACTGGGAAAATGTGAACGTATGGACACCCGACGTTGTCTGTCCGACTCGACTTGGTGTTCAGTGTCGTCAGTTCGATCCGGTCAGTGGGCCATTCAGCATGAACAACGAGCGCAGTAAGTTATATTTTTATACCCTAGCCTGTCTACCTGACTTTTCTTTTCCGGTGCACTGTATATACGTATATAACCCGGTAATGTTCCCGTAGCCGGTGATATTTCACTAAAGTTGAAGTCAAGAAAAGTTTCTATAGTTTTTTATGGTACGAGCCTGTTATTCTTGTTTCTACGAACTGCGATTGCGGATACAATAATAACGGACGTAATAAAATAATGGAAATAATATAATAATAAACATAATTGCAATAATTAATCATTTGTAATTACTTTTTAATTGTTATAGTAATATTAAAAATTATATAGAAATATTATATATAAAAATAGTATAGTAATTCTGTTTAAATTAGAAGAAACAAAAAAAATTAATAATCCATTTTGATTTAAAAAAAAAATTGTATCTTTTATCTAAATTTCATCTTCTCTGTTTTTAAAATTTATAGAACGCTGAGATGACCTTATTTTGATAGTATGATAACAAAACTGTGTGAAAAATAAAAGTCTATTAATAAATGTAGATTGTTCGATAGTTTAGACGTTGAGATAGTTTAGAAGCACATTCTTTTAAAAAATAAAATAAAATAAAATTTATAAAATATTAATTTTTTCCGATATATATTTTATATCAAAATTTGTTTCATTAACTTGTTATTTCCATATTTTCTCTTTTCTCAGAGGATGAAGGATCCGTTTACTCGATCGGAAGCCGTAATCACCTGGTGTCGGTAAGATCCAGAAAAACCTTGTAAGTATAAGAAAGTAAGATTGACAGTAATAGTTTCTAGCCAATAATAGTTCATTAAATCGTTTCATTAAATTGAGAACATACGTTTGCTTGTTGCAAGTAGATCACCACCGAGTCGCCACTAACTAGATCTGTTATATTTGCAGCTTCAAGAAGCGAAATCAGATTTCCAATCTCTTGGTGATATTTCTTTGCTTCCTGGTGGTTTCTTTAGCTATAACAGTTGTGGTGCTCGCTGTACTTTGTAAGTTTCTTCTCTAGCATATCTTATTTGTCATAGTCATGTAAATTATATTAAGATATATCTATAAAAATATATATTATATGTATATTATATTAAATATATATTTAATATAATATATGTATTATATATATATATATATATATATTAAAATTATGTATAAAAAATACTATATTTTTAATTCTCTATAGTCTATAACAAGTAACATATACGAATTGCTTTGATAAGAATATTCTTCAATATATTTTTATGTGCTGTAAAAATAATACATTAAAAAAAAATAATGCATACAGATTAGAATCAGAATAGAAAAATTTGTTAAATGTCATTGCATTTGTTATCTTATGTCTTAATATCATGTATATTGTATATATATATATATGTATATAAAGTCCTTCAACTGTAAGCTAACTCTATCAAAATTATAGTAGGTATAACTCTTACAATAGCACATAAGACAACCGGAAATACTTCTCATTTATAAAGAAATGACTCAACTCTTACGATGCTTTAATATATCTTCCTTACTTCCTTGTAATTACATATCCTTGACAAATTATTGGAGAACCATTTCTTCGTATCTTCGATCGCCATTGACATTGTGTGAATATTTTAGCGAACATGGCTATGGATCGTTTAACATGTGTTGTTCCAAGGAATAATTTTTTATTGCTTGCTTATTATTATTATAAGACAATTTATAACGTTCCACGTGTACATTTCACGGTCATGACATTTACAATTAATTGATATTATCCCTTAAAGTATATCCGTTATTAAAGTATCTCTTGAAATTACCGTACATTCTTTTAACCACAATTTTCTTAGCAAAGTCTGAGAGTATAAGTTTATCCATTCTAAACATATCCGAAAATTTTTCATTTTAAAATAAATAAATATTGAAATATTTTCTAATAAAACTATTATAATTTTAAAGATACGCAAAACGTATTTAATACATAAAAATATAATAAGTATGTGTACACATCAATGTATTGAAAATTTGTAATATACTAAACTATGACAAAATTAAAAAGTAACTCTCGATATTTCTAAGATATTTCTATAAATACTATTGTTGCAGATGCGTGTAACCGTATGGTGAAGATATGTGACAGCGAGGATTGCATGCGAATAGGTGAGTAGTATATATTTAGTATACTAACGGAGTGATTATATATACTTGCTCTATTATTCACGCGAACGAACATTGCGCAAAACGACAAAAATAGAGATGTATGGAAATTACTGTCCTGGAAACAATTATTTATTCTTGTTTGTTCACCTATAGCGGCTAGTTTGAAGGAATCTATGGACGTGTCTGTAGATCCTTGCGACGACTTTTATCAGTGAGTAGATTTGTCGTGTCGTGCTATTGTGTCGCGTACCGGACGTATGATGCGCAATTGTATTGCACGCGAAATTCCTCTACATATATCACTCTGCAAAAACTATTATTTCTTCGTTACGCAAATGCTGCACACACACTCGTGTGTTTCACTTTCACTCGCTTGTATGAGACATCGATTGTATCACGAATTTAATGTTTAATTTCATCGGAGGATATAGCAATTAACGCCGATATCTCATTATTGTACATTATTTTTGCGATGTGTAAAATTTTCTTCATTCTCTCTTCCTTAGATACGCGTGCGGCAGATGGCCGGACGAGCATCCCATTCCGGATTCCAGTCTGACGAATTCCTGGTTCAGCGAGCGCAGCGATCGCGTGTTCAGGAAGATCAGGGATCTGCTAAAGGTCAATATGTCTGCCAGTGAGGTACCGTGGGCAGTGATGCAGGCCAAGACTCTGTTCACCAGCTGCATGGACGTGTGTACGTTGCTGTTTTTGTTTAATTAGGTAGATGTCAATTAAAGAAACAAATATATAATATATAATCAGCGACATATCTATAATTAAAATATGATATATATTAATTATAAGTATAATAAAATATAATATACAAGTAATAACACTGTTACAAAAAAAAAACATTTTTTTCTCTCTCTGAAGTGCGACCATACATTTCCCAAAGATTTTTTCGCGCTAAACACCGTTTAAAGAATTTGCTTAGAACGTCAGGATTTTGAGTAAATTGGAATAAAAGTTGCTAAAAATGGCGTTTTTGGTCACTTTCATTCCAATTTACTCAAAATCCTGACGTGCTAGGCGAATTCTTCAAACGGCATTGTGTTCAGCGCAAAAAAATCTTCGGAAAACGTATGGTCGCACTTTGGAAAGAATTTTACTGTAATACAGTGTAATAATAATAATAATAATAATACGTGTAAAATATGTAATTATTTATCTTTTAATTTTGAATATTTCCTATAAAAAGATAAATTTCAGACACTATATATGAACTCAACTTGTCCCCACTCTTCAACCTGTTGGAGTTATTAAATTTGCCTATGATGCCTGCGCTTATCACAAACAAAACGTCAAATTACATCGAACAACTTGCCAGTGTAAAGAGAAATTTAGGCTATGACGTTTTCTTTGGAGTCGATGTCGGGCCCGATCCAAAGAACAAGAGCAATAATATAATCTTCTTCCACTATCCGATATACCATTCCAATCCTTTTCCTACTTTTACGTAAGCATACTTTTATTTTACGATTTTAAATAATTATTTTTAAATGTTTCGTAAATTACTTGTAATGTTATAATTAATACATATAATAACCAACATTTTATTGTAATAATAGCAATAAAGATTTGGAGAAGCGGTTGCAAAATATTAAATTGCGATTGCGAAAACTGGATGATATTGATGACGAAGATATGTTAAATGAAGATGAAGAAGTCGAGATTACCTATATGACTGATGTTATTAAACAAGTCCTTAACAATGGCACTGTTGATGAATGCACCTCGAACAATGAATCTACGATATTGGGAAATGAATTGGAAAAATTTGTCTATAAACTTTACAATATTAGCAACACCCTCTATTACGTAAGTATTTTCTGATTAAATCAAAATATTTTTAAATTAATTTTAATATGTTTTCGCGCGCAAAATTCTTAAAGATAATTAAAACATCTCAAAATTCCCAAAATTAAAATCTAATATTACAAGGAAAAAAAGTTATGGGAGTTGGCGGGATAAACGTTGCGCAATAAAACTATTCTTTTTTTTCTTACAATGTAAATTTAACTAATTCTGTTTCGACGAACGTTTCGACTTTAATACAAAACCATCTTCAGTGAGATTACAATAAATTAAGTACAGAAGCAATTAAAAACTCGAAAAGTTATTAAATAGCTATCCAGAACTCGTTGCATAACTGCAGGGTGGAACGTGTTACGCGCCTAATGAACGAAATCAATTTAGAAGCGTGCATTCATTTTTAATTTGATGAAAGTAATTATAAATAACTCAAGTAATCGCATTGATTGTGATACTCGAATCTCCGTATGGTGTCCGTCGTCAATTAGTTAATGAATAAATTATATGTCTTGGTCAAAGGGTGACCATAACATCTAATTTATTCATTAATTAATTGACGACGGATACGGAGTTAAAAAAAATGATTAAATTATACGTCTTGGTCACCCTTTGACCAAGACATATAATTTATTCATTAACTAATTGACGACGGATACTATACAGAGTTTCGAGAATCACAATTAATGCGATTACTAGTGAGTTCAAATAAACATGACATCAAATAAAAAATAAATGCACGTTTCTTAATTGATTTCGTTCATTAGGCGCATAACACATTCCACCCAGTTATGCAACGAGACAATTATCTAATAACTGCGTGCTTTTTGAATTTTTAATTACTTCTGTACTTAATTTATTGTAATCTTGCTGAAGATGGCTTTGAATTTAAAATGCCAAAACGTTCGTCGAATAGAATTCATTAAATTTACATTGTAAAAAGTAAAAGAATAATTTTATTGCGCAACATTTATCGCGCCAACTTCCTTTTTTCCTTTTAATATGTAAAATTCTTAAAGTAAATTTCTATCTTTATCACGCTTTATAATATTTTTTTGCAAAATTTTATTTTAAATACCAAATTTTGGGAAATATTATGTATTCAATTAGAAGAATTCAATTGTTTCGTAGGTCACTCATGCAGATCAAAATCAAAGTATTACCATTGAAAACTTGAGCGATAGCAATTATATGCTAATAGATGATCTACAAAGATTGACGGATGAGTATGTAACAAGTAATATTAATTCGTCTATCACACCTAAACCGATTTGGCGTCCTTTCATTGAATCCCTTTTCGAGGGAATCGTTAAGTTGAATCTTGACAGGGATAAAATTCTCGTCGGCAATTTGGAGTATTTGAAAAATGCTGCATTAGTATTATCTGCTTACCCAGAGCAAGATCTAGGTACGCATTAAATGATTTCTGTTATATAAATTTGCCACTCACTTTTCAAAAAAGTTCTTTTAAAATTCAATTTAATTTTGATTCAGAAAGCTATATTTGGTGGAGCGTTGTGGATATTGTGGTACCTCACTCTTCCGAAAAGCTTAGAAATATTTGGTACGAATATGTGAGTGAGTTAATGGATATAGAAGTAGGCGAACCACACTCAATGATCTGTGCAACAATTGCAAATGACTTAATGGGTATATACAATATTTATTTAAAACTTAAATAAAGAGTGACCCTAAAAATTACTGGTTTTTTGGGTTCTTGATTTTAGGACTGAATTTGGAATTGTGTGCCAAATGATATTTTATATTGAGATATTAATCACAAAGAAGTTTCAAGTTGAGGTGACAATACTGTTATCAGAGTTAGAGGGAAGGGAAATGAAACCAAGTTTGTTACACTGATCGACATGCTAAAAGTTTCCTGTAAAAGGAAAGTGGGTTCGCATAGATTTTGGGACGCTGAAAACGATGCTGCTCTCAGAATTATATTACGTCACATTTTTAAGAAAAATGGGGTTGAATCCCTTAAAAAACGCGTTTTTCGAAATTTTTGAAAAATCGCAGTTGATGAACCTGATGCAAGTAAATAGTTTCGTAATAATGGAGATATTTGGGTTTGGGTACAACGTTTAAGCTTTCATTTAAGATTTTTTAAAAGTTTTTAGCACATCAGATTCGTTCGCTGCGATTTTTAAAAAATTGCAAAAAACGCATTCTTTAAAGGATTTAACCCCATTTTTCTAAAAAATGTGACGTAATAGACAAATTCTAAAGGCAGCATAGTTTTCAACATCCCAAAATCTATAGAAAACTGTTCTCTTTTTGCAGGAAATTTTTAACATACGAGTATGTCGATCAGTGTAATAAACTTTGATTCCTCCCCCTCTCCCCTCCTCCAACTCTGATAACAATTGTCAACTCAACTTGAAACCTCGCTGTGATTAATATCTCATTATTGGGTATCAATTGGTACACAGTTCAGTTCCAAAATCGAGGGCCCAAAAAACGAGAGAAAAATTATTTTTTAGTATTACTCTTTGTAAATAATATATTTAATAAATATATCGACATATGTAATTTTTCCAATAATAATACATTTAGATTTAATAATGTTTGTAATATATTAGATTTAGTAATCTTCTAATGTATTTTTCTAATATATTTTTGTAATAAGTACATCTTATATATTGCTTTCAATTAATAGTGTTTATCATCAACTTCCAGGAATGGCTGTATCGTGGCTGTTCGTAGACCCAACATTCCTCGATGACGAAATTAATAAAGTGCAGGAAATATTAGATGATATAAAAGAAGCGTTCACCTCACTTGTCATCAAGACAGATTGGATGGATCAATCGACGAAAACGGCGACACTCGAAAAGAGTCAGAATATGGGCTCAGCAATTGGATTCCCCGCGTGGCTCCTCGACGAGGAGAAGCTCGATGAATATTACAAGGGCGTAAGTTTCGTAAAAAATTACACAGCAATTAAAAATATACAGTAATGTAAAATAATTTTCTACAATAATAAGTAAAAAATCCGTTTTGCGCAAACAAAAGTGCACATTTAAAATTTCACAGCCAAATGTATAATTTTTATTACACATTTATTTTATTAAAATTCAATCATCTATAAATAATTTTTTGTAATTAATGACAAAAAATTATTTATAGATGATTGAATTTTAATAATTAATTTTAATAATATTTTATTAAAATTCAATCATCTATAAATAATTTTTTGTAATTAATGACAAAAAATTATTTATAGATGATTGAATTTTAATAAAATAAATGTGTAATAAAAATTATACATTTGGATGTAAAATTTTAAATGTGCGCTTTTATTTTATTTTATGTTATCAAGATCCAACTTAACATAATATAACAGTATTATTTGTAACATATTTTGCATAATATCATATATGTTAATGTTTAGATAAGTCTGTCGGAAACGAGTTACCTGGAGAATATGATACAAATCGTTCGATTGCAATGGAACAACACGTGGACGAGCCTATACGAAGAAAATTTAGATAATGAGTCATAGTAAGTAAAAAATTTAGAGAATTGTCGGCAGTAAAATTCAATGCTAAGGTTTTATTTTTCTTGACCGCTTCGCTTCATTACGGATGATCAGCTGGGCAACTGATCCTACCGACGTAAACGCATTACATAATTTTCAACTTAATCATATAAGTACGTAATAGTTTAATCCTTTATTATTAAATAAACACAGATTAATATAGATATATTATACTGTTAATAAATACTAATAATCTGTATAGAAAAACTTTGTTTTTTTTTGGTTGTTACATCAATGTTACATTAACATATTCTCTTCTTTCACTATTCACACATGCAGCCATTCCTGCTGGAATTCTTCAATTTCCGTTTTATGAATTGGGTCTTGCGTAAGAATAGGAATTTTTTCGTTAATTACTTTGTTATAAACTTTATATATAAAAAACAATATAAAAATAAATATTTACAAATAAAAAATAAAGTAAAAAGGCATGAATTTTCGTGAGGTTATAATGAGAATAAAAAAAGAAAAAAAAATCAACGTTTTATTTAAATTGCAGAGCCTTAAATTACGGCGCCATCGGCATGATGCTTGGGCATGAATTAACTCATGGATTCGACAATAGCGGCAGGCATTTCGACAGTGTGGGAAATCTTCGGCAATGGTGGACCAATGAGACCATCTCGGAGTATACGGACAAAACTCAGTGTTTCATAGATCACTATAATACTTATTATTATAGCGAGGCAAGTCCAATGACAATTTTATAAAGCGTTGCAATATTAGAAAAAATTTATTTATGATTTTTGAAGAAGTAAAAAAAAGTGGTAAAATGGAACAATCATTTTAAATATTAAATAAATAGATGTTTCTAAGAAATTTATTTTATTTTAATTTTAATTTTAATTTAAATAATTCTTCCTTTTTTAATTTGTTCAAAAATCGGGTTTCATAAAATAAAAATTTAATTTTTTTAGAATTTATTTTTTATTTATGAAAACTTTAATATTTAACAATTTATATTGTACTGCGAATTATATCCTAACTCTACGTAATTCTTAAGCAAAAATTTGCGCAGTTTCAAGGAGTTGAATCACCTGAGCATATCAATATATTAATGATATGTCTTGTATAGATCGACGATTCCATCGACGGCGAACAGACCTTGGGCGAGAACATCGCCGATAATGGTGGCCTTCGCGAGGCCGTCGTCGGTTACGAGAGGTGGAAGGCCCGGCACGGTCGGGAGCTTTTACTTCCGGGATTCACGAAGTTTACACACGAGCAGTTACTTTTTCTTTCTTTCGCGCACGTAAGTCAACATTCCAGAATTACAATATAATAGCCAATCACCATGCTTAAATATTCATGTTTAAATTAAAACCTCTGTATGAAATTTTCAAATGTTTAATTGTTTAGTGGAAATAACTAAAATATTTAATAAAATAAAAAAGTTAATAAATTAGTAAAAAGAAACGTTTTAACTAAATAATATTAATTTTAACTTGAAGAAATTGAGGCTCGTATAATGAATAATCATAAATAGCTCAATAATGTCTTTGCGATCCGACGGATGTTGGTGTGTAATAATTTTTTACTGTTACAATATCAATAGCCACATACAAACTGTGCGCTGCATTAACTGTCGGTCTTGAAACACAGCTCTGACATGAGATCAGAATCCACTGTAACGAATTAAATTGTCCAACAATTTAAGATTTTTGAATAAGAGATTTTCGATACTAATAAACATCTATAAGAATCTTCTCCCAAATCTTAAAGAATTTATTGCGAAAAATATCACCCCTGCTTCCAGCCGGGAAGCGTTTCGTTTCGGGAGCAGGGGTGATATTTTTCGCAATAAA